GCAAATCTCTTTGGGAATCTAGAACTGGCCAAACAATGAAAATTGAAGACATGAAAAACCAGAGGGCATGAGATAAACCATTACTAGATCAAGCAACTAGTATTTTACAGGAGACAGCTTCTGATACTTTGAAAAATAAGGCTCGTCTTCTCGCAGTAACTGTGAAAGAATCTGGTGCTTGGTTGAATGCTGTTCCTGTAGTATCACTTGGGACTCTATTGGATGACGACTTTTAAAGATTTGCCATCAGATTTCGACTTGGTACACCACTGTGTGTTCAACACTTTTGTACATGTGATGCATTTGTGGATGAATCAGGTACTCATGGGTTGAGCTGCTGTTTTAGCGCTAGTCGTTTATCTCGTCATTGTACAATTAATTATCTAATCAAAAGGGCTTTTACTCCAGCAAAAATTCCTGCGATTTTAGAACCCATAGGCACAAGTCGAGACGACAAAAAATGGCTGGATGGTATGACACTTGTTCCATGGAAAAATGGTAAATATGTTGTTTGGGACTTTACTTGTATAGATACATTAACAACTTGCCATCTTCCTGCTACTTCTGCGAAAGCCGGTGCTGCTGCTCCTTTAGAAGAAAGTTCCAAACTACGGAAATATCAGAATTTGGAAAACCATTATATCTTTCGCCCAATAGCTGTTGAAACTTTTGGTGTTTTTGGATCTGAAGCCTTATCTTCCATCAATGAAATTAGAAAAAAGGTAACCGATGAAACCCACGAATCAAGAGCCATATCTTTTCTCATTGGAAAAATTAGTATAGCTATCCATAGAGGATATGCGGCTTCTTTTTTCGGTACGCTTCCTGATTCCAAAAAACTTTACACGTTTCCTGAAAACCAATTTTATAAAGACAAGAGGGGTAATAACAAACTTCAAAGATATTTCGAATTGTTCAGTGATAAATTCTTCAGTCAAAACCCTTGGGTTAAATGATTTGAAAAATATTGTTTCATGAACAGCGCAATCCAATGTTTATCAAATACATGGTCATTGGAATATTTGAAAAAGGACGAATTCATGAGAGATATTAATTCTAGTATTTCTACTATGAAGGGTGCTTTAATCAAAGCTTTTACAGACGTCATCAAGGAGTAGTGGTCAGAAAATTCATTTGATAGAGAAGTAAATACAGCCTCCTTGAAAAATCACATTCAAAGTTTTGCTCCTCGATTCATGATGGGATTCCCATCAAGACGCCTAGGAGCTTCTTCGTTATCTTTTAGAAGGTTTACATGCAGACGTTAACTCAATTGATGAGAAACCTAAACCAATTTTAACGGAGATTAACGAAAATTTTAGCGACAGCGGAAATGAGCAAGAGTCATGGCTCACATACAGGGCTTTTCATGATGAGCGTTAATTAGCCGTTTCTGGCAAACTATTCAACTGATCAACCTGAAAATTCCACAGTATGCATAAGTCAATATGACTACACGCCTAAAATATTTTAGACGAAGCGGCGTTGTCGCTTCTACTATAAAGTAGCGGCTTCTTTGATTTTTCAAATGGAACACCCCGTATATAATATCATATTATGATTCATTATCACTTTGTCAACAAATTCATATCCTATTTTCCTATACCTATCTATTACCGTTTAGAAGATATAAATTAATTTCGATATTTTTTTTACCAAACATGAACTTTTATAAATGCTGATAATCTTGAAATGTCTTGCACTAAAACGATCAAATTTGAAATGGAGTGGAGTGATACTATGAGGTCTTCACTCCGAGTCATATTTTCATTTGCCTCATACAGGGTCTTCAAAAAATGCAGATACTTTGATCTCATGAAAAAATGAGTGGAACTCAATTTTTTCAAATGGAACACCCTGTATATTTCAACATTTTTGAGCTCTACATCCAATTTTAGATAACCTTGTTCAGATAATATTATTTCTATTTTGAACCGTTTGCGAGATAAACTGTTTCAAACGGAAATTGACATGGTTTTCTTGTTCATCACTCATTTTTGTAAAACAGATTTCGTTTGATGCTTCTCAATCAGTCACAGATAATACAATGAAAAGATAATTATTAAAATACTCCTCAACCATCGAATGAAACTTCTCTTGAAACAATAGTTTTATTAATGCTGATACACAAACTGAAAATAATAAACCCATAATTTAATGAGTTGTGCCTTTGGCGGATAACATGGGGATTTTCTGGCGCCCAATAATGACTGTTGTGTCTATTGAAAACTCCATTTTTTGTGAACTTGGCCTCATCTGTCCATATGATATTGTCAAGGAAATGTTCATCCTCTTGAGTCTTGACAAGTAACCATTCAAAGAATTCCACTCTACGAGGTAAATCAGTCTCTTTCAAATGTTGGACACAGTAGAACTTATAGGGATGCAATTTATGCTTACTAAGAATTCGACAAATTGTCACGTACCTATCTCCCTTTCAGCCTCGTACAGAGAAGCAATTTGAAATGCATGAAAGTATCCCAAAATTTATGATGTACTGTTTGGAACCTTTGGTGTAGTAATGAATATTACTGGAGTGTTTTCCCCAACACCGAATCGTTATTTTTACACCTCGACATGTGTTTCGATCCCCAAGTGATCATCTTCAAGAGGAAGATAAAACTAGAAACTATTCAAAACTAAAGCTATTTCTGCTATTCAGGTACATCATACAGGTAGGTAATCAGTAATACCATCCATACAAGTGTACCACCCTAAATTAATTTTACAATTGGCCTTTCTATCATTTTACAATATGTCCTTATGTATGTTCAAATGTTACAGCTATATATAGAACAATTTTCAGCTATATAAAATTAGTTTCACAATATTGTGAAAGGACATATACATAAGGACATATTGTAAAATAATAGAAAGGCCAATTGAGAAATTAATTTAGGGTGGTACACTTGTATGGGTGGTATTACTGATTACCTACCTGAATGATGTACCTGAATAGCATAAATAGCTTCAGTTTTGAGTAGTTTCTAGTTTTATCTTCCTCTTGAAGATGATCACTTGGTGATCAAAACACGTATCGAGGTGTAAAAATAACGATTTGGTGTTGGGGAAAAAACTCCAGTAATATTTATCCCAAAACTGTTATACCATTGTCATCATCATCCACTTTAGTCTACTTACGAATGATTTCTGGACGGAAGGTTCCATTCAACCTACAGTTTTTTAGTAGTCGATTTATCACATTATTATTCGGCTTCGGAAGTTGTGTATATCTTTCATGAAATACTCGGCATGTTCTACTTGCAATTCTATTGCACTCACCATAAATTATTAATAAATTCAAGAAATCATCATTACTGTAACTTAATCTTGACATTATTCTATTATAATTGGTAGCTATCACAATCAGTCAAAACCACCAACGAAAGTATGACGTTAAATAATTGGTTTATTTATTTTACCAAAGCATACTATTGAAAAATATTAATGTGTACTGTTGTACGTTAGAGACCAATACCTCAATGTATACAAATTGTAACTTTTTCTACTATAGTAGGTATATACCAATTTCGAATTGACTGGTCTGAGACAGTTAAAAAACTGGATCAAAAAGAAATATTACTAAGTATAAAAAAAATTTTGAATATCCAAAATAAGTGATGAATTCAAAAAAACGAGCAAGGAAACCATGTCAATTTCCGTTTGAAACAGTTCATCTCGAAAACGGTTCAAAATAGAAATAGTATTATCCGAACAAATTTAATCTATTGATTTATGCATACTGTGAAATTTTCAGGTTGATCCGTTGAATAGTTTGTCAGAAACAGGTAATTAACGCTCATCATGAAAAGCCCTGTATATGAGGATGCATGACTTTAAGATTGTAGATAATTTCGTTGGTCAATTGAAATCTACGATAAAATGCACATACTGTGGACACTCATCAGTAACTTTGATTCTTTCTGGGATTTGTCTCTGTCCACACCTCAAGGGACCGACTAATTGAGTTTGTGGCAATGCTTGGATTCTTCTACAAGAGAAGATACTTTGGATGGAAATGAAAAACCAATGTGTTCGAAATGCAAGGAAAGGAGAAAATGCACAAAGTCCCTATCAATCCACAAGTTTCCCCATATTTTAATAATACATTCAAAAAGATTCTCTCCAACGGAAAGATTTAGAGACAAAGTGAATGATGTCATCGAATTTTCTCTAGATGGATTTGTTATGGACAATTTTGCAGCAGAAAATATGGCTACTTTTTGTTATAATCTATAGGCACTTTCAAATCACAGTGGGACTACTAACATAGGGCATTATATAGCATACTGCAGACACCCGTATACTGGCGCGTGGCAAAAGTACTACGATTCACATTTGTCACCAATTTAAATAAAATCGCTTGTGAGTGGAGAAGCATACGTTCTCTTTTATGAAAAAGATGGAACAAAATCGCACCTTTAAGATAAACGAGGAAATTTTTTTTGTGCAATAATTATTTATTTTTTGTTAAGTTCTTACAAGTACCGGTTTCGTCAATTTTGAATATTAAATCATTAACTCTCTTTTGGTCATGTTAAGGTATTTTTTTATAGTTGTATTTTTAAGGTTATTTTGATCAACTTCTATGTATATTATGTTCATTCAGTAAAATTCATTGGGATGAATTAGAAAGTTTGCTCTTTGTTTACGTATGTACTGATATATTATATTTTGAAATAGATTGACAATTTTCTGACTCAACATATTTTTTTTTTATTTTTCCATTTGTTGTATTATGTATTGTATATCTTTTTCAGATTTGTATGTTACATTGTCTCTAGTATAAATATGTAATGTTTCTTGGGAATAATGAATTCATTATTATTATTATTCATCCTCAAACGATAATTTCTATTACATTCCACTTGAAAAATGTATCAAAATATCTGCTCATTCCATCGTGATTTTGATGGTTCTCAAGAAATTTCACGCTGATACTTTTCAGGACCAGATTATGTAGTGTAGTGTAGATTCAGAAAACCTAGCATCAACATTACCTGAAGACTGAGCTGCAGGGCTGGACTCAGGATCTCTAATGTACATTCGCCTATCATGAAAGTTGAAGATATATTGTCCATTTCGCTCCAATTTTTGTAGTTGAAGATCCTTTCGATATCAATAGTGTTATACAAATGGAAGGTATGATAAGCTGGTTGATTCCGTTGGCAATTCCTGTAAAAAAATATTTTTGTGATACCTATGGGAAAGTGCTCAAAAAAAGTATTTACAATACATTTATTCAAATCTCACTCATTTGTTAAAATAGATTTTAGGTATCCACCAGCTTTCTTATTGAGTGGGATTTGGAAAATTGCTACCAGAGAATCCAATATGTCTCCAGCTGATGTTAGGACGGACATCAAATAACATTATTTCTTGTTCAGTAACAGATCATCGAAACCGGTTTGTATGTCCTGCTGTTGAATAACTAAGATCAAAGTCCTGCTGCTGGATAACTAGGAGCATCTCGATAAACTCTATGCGGATTACCATGCACCAAAATATGTCGGATATAATCCAATATTCGACGTGATATCAGTCTGGCAGAAATGAATATTTAGATTCCTCTATTCAAAATTTCTCGTTTTTTGGTTTGCGCCTGGTAACAAATTTGAATGAATAATTTAAACTCGAGTTTTTCAATGAGTTTCTTATCCTGAATCATCGAAGTGAAGACATGAGTGAAGGGGCGTTTTTCTGTTATTCAGATATCGTCACCATCTTAACGACCACGTATAAAAATCCTACTGTTTTGTAAATCAGGAATTTACAGAACAGAAGATAATTGATGGAGAAATTGTATTCACCGATCTCATCAAGTGACAGTATGAAGAGACAAGTTCAAATCATGTCCAATATAACTATATTATGGAAATTATTTCAAAGGCTATTCTGTTCTAATCACATGTTTGGCTTGAGTAGAATAATAAGTATTGACAGAGTTATTTAAGATTATTTCTTCCACCCAGTTAACTTAATTATCAGGATTCTCAACTCACTATTGTGATTGACTTTGATTTTCACTGCTATACAATAGCATTTTCTAGCTCTGAAATTCTTCTTAAGAAAGCTATTGTAGAGTGAAACATGTGGGAACTTTCCACAGTGAGAATTAAAATGAATCTCATTAGTAAGTTTTGACATGGATTTTCATCAAATATCGGCCAGATCCATTCAACTTCTAAACAAAACTATTTTCTGTAATAAACTTCATTCCTCAATTATATCAAGTTCGCTAACTAAGAGAATACCAAAATGTGTAAGAACAGAATCTACAAAGCGGTTTAACGACGGAAACAATTTTCTATAAACTCAGCATATTGTTAAACTAGAAATAGTTTGTCAGTTCGGAAGATTAATTTAGCTTGTTAATTTTACTCCGCAACGTAATCATTCACGGCTGGAATATTTGTGAAAGGGCCGGCTCAGTTAATATACATTGTTAGTCATTAACCATTCAAACCTGAAAAGAAAATTTTGCATTCCTTTTTTTTTGTTCCCCGGAGAACATTGGAAACCTCAAGTGATGGAAGGATGAAGAAATTCTTAACTTTTTCCATAACTTCAGTAATACACTAATTTTTTTCGATGTGAATTAGCAATAAAGTCTTTTCGAGTTAGCCTTGAAAAAATAATTACTCAACTAATTGGTGAAGGCTCCGGTATTATTCAAAGAACTGTCTTGAAATGATAACCACGGGCTAAATAAAAGAGAAACAATTCATTTAGTACATCGCTGAAAAGTAGTATATTCGTTTCTGTTACGAGTTGATATTTGTGAAAGGTGAATTCCATAATCTGATGTTTTTATATATGAAAAATTGCACTACCACTGTTTTTTTCTCCGTATACCAAAAAATATTTGGAAATATCATTTTCACATTATATGTAGAAGATATTTTTTTTTATTTGAAGGGCCAGTACGAAAGTAGCGATTCACATTGGATTTGAATCGTTGGAGATTGAATTCATTTGAAAAAACGTTCTCAGAAAGTTTACTACACGTGAACGAAGTTCTCTAAATGAAAGAGTTCTCGAACAGTGGAGTTCTAGGTGTACTGAGTTGAACCTCGATGAGCAGCCACAGTCTGTCGCGTATTTCTGATATGTATCGCTCTTGGTGTAATCAAATGTGCCAAGTCACTTGAAAACTTCCCGTGGAAGTGTCTATAAAAGAGAGATAAATCCCCAACCTTTCTTCGATGTTCCAGATTATCGAGGTTGCAAGTGATGGATGGAACCCAGCAACTTCAGGGTATGCTTAGGATAGCAGCTCTATATATGAAAACAATACTTCAAAGAATGTCTGATTTGAGCTTTATACAGTATCAAATGTTGCTGAGGTGTCTACTGTTTTCTGGTTTGGAACAGTGTTCCCAGCTTTTGAGAAGCAGCCTCTGCAATTCCAGCGACATGATTGTGCCCAAGACATATTGGTGTCCATTTTTCCCCCACCAAACGTATCGGAGCAGAAAGTGGTTTCATCCGACCGGACATTATTATATCCGGTTCGGAGACATTTTTTTTTTAGAGAAACCCGATGCCTGGGTTTTTGTGGCATTGAATTGAATCTGATTATTTTCACCTCAATTGAAATTACTTCTTGATCCTCATCAAGATATGCAACCTTGTGCTGCCGGTGAAGATATGCATTCGTAGCCGATGTCCTGGAATCCAAATGGAATGACGAAACAAGTGTGCTGTCGTCAGCAAAGCAATATATTGGTTTCTTGCGAAGCCATAGCTTCGAAGTATCAAGCGCTTTAGCTCTCTACTCTTCATATTTTTTCATTGCGTTATTCCAAATATAGGTGACATACGATACGTCGCCTGTCGATCTTCGTTTCCGAATGACATATTGATGATCGCTCAAGATATTGAAGCTATCTCTATGAATTTTAATATTACTGATAGCAAAATTACTGGTCTATAGTTATTTGGAAGATGTTTCTTGCCTTTTATCGGATTAGGCTGAATGCAAGCAATCTTCCAAAAAGAATAGAAAACCCTCTTCTTGTAAGACAGGTTGAAAAGTCTGCAAAATACTGGTGCGACTTCTTGCGCCTTGTTGATATTGAGCTGTTTCATAATTCGCCTAACTAGACATTGTCAAAAAATAATTTCCGGCATTGTGGATTCCAGAAAATCCACTGGTTAGTTTCATTTATTTGATATATGTGTAATTGATAACTAGTTTATTTTGTGGTAATTCATGATCACTTTGATGAAATGAATAAAAACACCTTTATCTAATTACCACTAGTTGATTTTTTTATACACAAAATATAACACATATGTAATAAAGAGAAGAAAATGAATTTGTTGGAATCAAGAAAATTAACAAGTCAATTAAAAACCAGAAATATACAACCCTAAATTAGCATTTGAATTTATAAGTTTAACAACCCCTAGATTTTAAGTGGTGAATTTTAAAGTTAGCATCCTGGTTCGCCCAACTACCTATCTATCGAATACCTGTCCTTACTCCTGATAAAACCAAGTTTTTAAACTTCATATCCCAGTTTTATACTTGATAATGGGGTCAATCCCGAAACCGGTCGTATAAATAGAATCAACTAGTGGTAATTAGACAAAAGTGTTTTCATTCATTTCATCAAAGTGTTCATTTATTTGCCTATTAATCGTTATCACGGAAACAGATTTGGAGTTACGAATTTATGTAGATAAATATGAGAGTTGTTGTTGTTGGATAAATCTGTCAAGAGTGGAAGTATGTTGTCCTGCCTGATTCAAGGCATTATCAGGCATCACTTCAAAAGGGGACCATTGATATCTTTGAGCATTTCAACACTTTCAATAGAAAATAAAGTATACAGGTCAACAAAACGTAATATCCAGTAGTCGAGAAGCCAGAAATGGACTTGAATACAATTCCGATCAACATTCCACTAGTAGCATACCACTCAACAACGTGGACAAATTAAAGTCACCCAGCAGAAGTACGGACCAGTTAGGAGTGAGCAGTGAGCGCTACCATTACCTCTACCATCCTCTGAAGTCATGAATACGAGTGAAAATGTTGCACGCTGTTAAGTGGTCGCTACAACAGTTAAAACACTTAAATTGAGGGTCATGGTTATAATTGAAGAGTTTAAAATAATGGTAATGTTAAATAGTGACAAGAATGTTGAAGAAGACAAAAAAAAAACACCTAACCTAAAAATCCTCAAGGGTGTAGCAATTTGTTTCTATGAGAGCAGCTTTCAGTCCTGATTTAAAAATATTGACATATGGCGCATTCTTTACCAAATCATCAAGCTTATTGTGAAATTTTGGTCCAAGAAAAAGGAGGCTTTTTTGGTATATGGTGGTTCGATGCATATGGGGTATTAATAAGTTTTTAGAGCGGGTAGGGTATTTATGCTGATTTGATATGAAATTATTACCATTCTTGTACATGTATATGCATAATTCATGAATATAAATACCCGCAACGGTGATTATTTGAGTTCTTTGAAGATGTTTCTACACGACTGCCTCCATCCTATACGAGCAATAGTTCTGATGGCATATTTCTGTAGGGTGAAAACCCTCACTGCAGACGATCCTGTGCCCCAGTTCAGTATTCCATATCGTATATGACAGTGTATTGATCCATGGTATAGATTCAAGAAAACTTGTTTACTGCAATGGTTTGAAATAAATCTTAGCGCATAGCAATTTCTGCGGAGTTTGTCGCAATGAGTTTCAATGTGAGGGATCCAGGTGAGCTTGTAGTCAAGTGTAAGGCCAAGTATCTTTGTTGTTGAGCAAGATTCAACATACAACTCCTCGTTCTCATAAATGCTAAAACTGTTACTTGGTGAAATCATGAATAATTAATGAAATACATAAACGCTACTTCTACTTCTGAACATTCCTTCATCTCTCGAATCACCTTTTTCAAAGCAAATAAAAAAAAATGGAATTACAAGTTTTTTTCAGAATATAACATCAATAAATTCTGTATATTGGTGTTCTTCAAGCATAAATTTTCAATATTCTATACATCTTCCATAACATGGGCTGGAAAGTCTCGGCCCTGAGAAAGAAAATGCATGTTTATGTTCAAAATTGGCTTAATTCATCAACGTGATTTTCATTGAGAGCCACACAATCATTTTAGCGCCGCTCTAACATTTCAATACCACTTTTACTTCGAAATAGGTCTCAGCAATAACCTCCTCATTCCAGAAATATGAGCATTTTTTGAGGTCTGCGAACAGCCACTAGTCCGGGAAGAGGAATTTGGCAAATTGGATGTGGAAGCAAAGTGAAAGCAAGTTGAATTCATGTAGTTTTGCCATCGTTTTGATTCACCTGTGGCTCGGTGCGTTGTCTTGATGAAAAACAATTTTCTTTGCCATATGCTATTGTTTCTTTGCAATTTTGACCTTGAAATGCTCCAATAACTCTATTTAATATTCACTGTTGATGGTATTTCCATTATCAAGGTGATCGATGAATATTACACCACGCACATCCCAAAATATCACCAGTTGCTCTCTACTCAGTAGACGATAATTTTGATTCCGTAGTGAAGTGACGATTCCATCTTTTATCCTTTGGACACAAACATTCAGGTTTGTTATGTTCAAACTTGGCCAAAAACTGCTCAGAATCATGAAGATGTTCTTGTTTTAGATCAACAGTGAGCTCACGCAACACCCACTTTCAACAAAGCTTCTTCATAGTATGACGCTCATGCAATATGATTTTTCGATATCTTTACAATGTCAGCTTAGTCACGCAACTTCACTTTTCGATCATTCAAAAGGTTTTTGTGGATTTTTTATATTTTCTTACTGCCTCATTTGGACATCCACTGCGTTCTGAATCATCGGTGTCTCTACGACCAAGCTTAAACAGTATTTTTCACCATCAAGAAGCAGTGCAAAATTGAAAGACGAAATTGTTGGCAGCAGAAGATTTGTTAGTAGAATATGGTGATGTTAATTTCAAAAAATATCCTGTGAAACTGGGAGTCCCCCAGGGGCCAGTATTGTAACCACTTCTCCTCACGATTTTCATCAACGACCTACCCAAATATATGAAGGCTAACATAACTATGTATGATGACGATACTAAAATCACAATAGCAAAACAATGATACTGTCGTATTGAATTTGGATACTGGTTTCAACGTAATTCATTGATACTCAATGTAGATAAGCTAGTGGCACTGAATGTCTATCTCTGAAGCCTAATTCTCAATGCGATACACATTGAACTGGATATAAAACTGAATGAAAAAGTTGAATTTATTGGATCGCAGATAGATAGTTAGCTCACCTCGGAAGATCATATAGGCAGTATCTGTAAAAAACTACTATTCTACTTTGGTATCTCCCAAATGAAGTATTGTTTTGACACACCCGGCCTGTTGACTATATAATATGCCTCAGCGTACTGCCACATATTATAAGATATTATCTGTTGGGGCAGAGCTACAAACTTAATGAAAGTTTTTGTAATATAAAAAAATCATAAGACTGATTTTTCAGATAGGATATATGGATAGTTGTAGACCTATTATGATTCAGAATGAAATCATAAGTGCTTTCTGTATATACATTCTCCTAGCACCTACCAACTCTTTCAACTGCACATGAACACAACACAGGTAACAGTCATAAATTTGATGGTACCTGCATCGTACAATGGCATATGAGAGATCACCATATTATAATGCAATCAAATTATATGATAAACTCCCACTGAAAAATCAACAAATTCTTGACAAACCTAAATTCAAAGCTGTTGTAGAAAAAATTCTGGTAGATGAATGTTATTATAGTATATCTGAATACCTTAATGATTCCAATGTAATCTGTTTTTACAAGGATTTCCTCCTAATGTTTTATTGAATATGTTGCTATGAGTGTATATTTTTGATAATTTCATATGTGATATGCATAGTATTTATTTTATCATATTATTTATTCATTGTTTGTTTTTTGAATTTTGAATATTCACAACTATATAGGTCGTTTCTTTCATCATGTGGTAACATTGCTATATTCTAAATCGTAATAGATACGAAGAAAATCAAGTGAAGAAAAAAGTAACCGTCATCGGGTACAATACAACGGTCGAAAAAAATTTACGAGAACTCTCTCCCTTCTCGAGTTATACGGGGAAAACCAAAAATGCTGTTTTTCGTTTTTTTGAATGGAATTGTTATTTCGGAGAATATCAAAAAATGGAAGAAAAAAATGTTATTGTATTTGAAGTGTACTATGACGTTGTAATACTAAATATTCGATAAAACGTTTCGTGTCAACATGACCACTATCAACTTTTTTTTAAATATGAACCAGATGGACCTGTATTTTTCATCACATATATTAATGAAGCAATAAATTCACAATTCTAGGGTAAATTACATGTGATATTTTTAATTTTGTAAATTTTTGTATTGCCGTAATACTTCGTTCAAGGCTTATTTCTCCCTAATCAATTATAATTCCTAACATTTTTATAATTATCAATCCTGGAAATAACGAAAACATCAGTTTTTGGTCAAAATTCGATTGTTGTATAATTTAATATAATCAAATAGCATCTCAAATCATTTACCATCTTAAACGCGTAGGCTTTGCTTGATTTCTATGGCAGGAAAAATGAATACGTTGTTGATATCTGTTGAGAACTGCCAGACGTTTATGAACATATCAAAGATGTATTCAAATGATAAAAGGGCTGATATATGCTATTCAGTTATGCAAATAGAAATTCTCTTTTGGCAAGTAATATGTATGTTGAGCTATATCCGAATCGTCGTATTCCGAACATCCAGATGTTTAGACGAATGGAAAGAAATTTGAGGGATTATGGTGCATTTGGCAGAAAGAGAACAAGAAAATGTGTGGTTACTGGAAGTGTGAGAAATCAAATGAATGTTATGAGTAAGCAAGCAAATATTACCACATAAAAATTCAACCAGTGAAAACATCTATCCTTCAATATATTGGCAGTTACAAAAATTATGCTAATTAAGATTATTCTTTACGAGAAATTGCCAACGAGAAGAGAATTTCTGTAGAATCTACTAGAACTATTTTGAAAAAGAAAAAATATAAATGCTACACGATACACAAAGTTCATCACCTTAATGAAAAGGATTACGGAAGGAGACTACGATTTGCGAAGTGTTTAAGACGTAGAAATAGGGAAGTTGAAAACATTTGTAAAAAAAAATATGGATGGACGAATGAAAATTCACCAACAACAGGTAGTTTGACAGAAATGTCCACTATAGGTGAAATAATACAAATGAACATTAACATAGGAAAACGAATTTTCAAGAAAGTTTCAGAATAAATGTTTGGCTGAAAATTATGGAAACAAACATTTTCGGCCCTTTCTTTTACGATGGTCATTTGAAGATTGAAATATATCTTCATTTTCTATTCAATGAATTCGATTGCTACATAAATGAATTGCCACTGAATATCCAGCATGAAATACAATAATTCAAACAGGACAACAATAGTAAGGAAACATTCAGATGCAATATTCCCAAGAAAATGAATTGGGAACAATGAACCAATTAACTGGCCAGCTCGATCCCCAGATCTCACTCCTTTAGATTTTTTCGTCTGAGGATACATAAAGGAAAAAATGTTTTCAACACCAAGTACAGATATCGACCATCTCGAACAAAAAATAAAAGATGCATGTATTAGTATTACACCTGTTATACTAAAAAATTGCGACAGAAATTGTCTGGACCGACAATTTAATTGCATTTAACAAAGAGGTCGTCAATTCGAGCATTTAATGTAGATTGCCATCTAGCTTTAATTTTCCGTATTGGTTTCATTTTTCCCAAAAGTTCATGATAAAATAAATTGTTTTTCTGTTCGATTGTTATTACTGATGATGGTGGTTATTTCAAATGAAACGCTATAAAAATATCAAATGTGATATACCGTTGGGTTGTGAATATATTTGTTATAAAAAAGGCAGGTCCGTATTTGAAAAAAAAGGTGATTGTGGACATGTTGACACGAAACGTTTTATCGAATATTTTTACATTGTCATATCACTACGAATACAATAACTTTTTTTTCCATTTTTTTATTTTTTCTGAAATAACAATTCCATTCGAAAAATACGAAAAACAATATTTTTGGTTTTCCCCGTTTAACTCGAGGGGAGTCCCTGTTAATTTTTTTCGACCATTGTATTCTTCTCAATGACAGTTACCTTTTTTCCCATATTTAATCGTTTTTGTATCTGTTACAGTTTAGAATATAGAAATGTTACCACATGATAAAAGAAACGGCCTGTATTATGACGTGCCATAATATGTACTACCTGTACCTGAAATGGTTAATGAATAATTTTTTCTATGTCGAATAGAAAAGCAGATATCATTTATCGAAGCATCGTTGATACATCCTGTATATATGTATTGTTTCTCCACTCATAAATGAAGGTTTGTTATATAGGGAAAATTAAATTCTCAATTTTTTTCCAAAAAGTTAAATCATAAAACATATATACTATTATTGCAAGTTAGGAACTTGTTTCAATGAATAATAACGATATATCATAAATGTTTGTTGAGTGTGTAGTGTGTGTACAACAAAAATATTTTACGATATTCAATGATTGCATTTTGTTTGAACATATTTTTTTTCAGAAAATTCAATAATTTTATTGTATTGTCATAAAGAAGAAAGGTCTCAGGACCATGTCTAATTATTTATGAGGGATTCCGTTTCCTTTCATCTAGGAAATTGAACTCATACTCACTTCAAAACGTCTCCAACTTCAACGGTCTCATTTCCTGCTGCAAACTCTTCCAGCAATCCATCGTCGTACAGAATTCCCCCCGAATCCAGCAACTTTCCAAGAACTTCATAACGGGGATGGTCGTAAACCGGATCGCAAATCATGCACTGTCCATGTCCGGCTATGAGAAGAGACAGCGAACCCACACCCCAGACGAAGAGACACGTCAAGCAGGAAAGACTGACACCTGCCAGCAGGAGAGGAATAGTTCGGGAAGTCAGTCCGCAACCGCAGGGCGCGCCGCATAGCAAAAGGCCCCATATTATGAATAGAACGGAAGCTAAGCCTGCAAGATACATTTCTATTAAGGCATAAATGAAGACTTGTAAGTCGACAAGGCAGAAGTTTGTAGTATTGTTCCTTCACCCCTATTTTATAACAACATTATGCATTACTACAAATGGTGAGACGGTAATTTCTCATACTTATACAGTTTATGTAATAGATAATACATGGGCTGAAGAGTCTCGAGTCTAAAAAAGGAAACGCCTTTCAATTTGTTCAGTAATCTTCATTAAGAGCCACACAATCATTCCAGCGCAGCTCTGACATTTCAATACCACTTTTGTAGAACAATTTATCTTTTGGCACACAATAGGCCACACTTTTAGCAATAACTCCTTCTATCGAGCAGTATTTCTCAAGGATGCGCATTTTTTGAGGCCTGCGAACAACCAATAGTCTCTGGGAGCCAAATCTGGCAAATACGGTGGATATGAGAGCAATTCGGAGTTCCATTTATGTTGTTTAACCATTGTTCTGATTGGCTTGTGAGACGGTGCATTTTGATGAAACAACATTTTTTTCTTTGTCATATGTGGTTGTTTATTTGCAATTTCGGCCTTCAAATGCTCCAATAACGTTATATTTTTATAACTTATCGAAATAGTGATGAATATTACACAACGCACATTTTAAAATAACTACTTCGTAAACTTCACAGTGGATTGTTGAGCGTTCGGGCGCTTCCGACCGAGTTTCACCAATCGCTCTTCACTCAGATGTTTCATCTATCGTCAAATATCGACGCAAAAATTATGGTTTGTTATGTTCAAATATGGCCAAATACTGCTCAGAATGATCACAACGTTCTTGTTTTTGGTCAACAGTAACAGTACGCGGTACTTACTTTGAACAGAGCTTTCTCATAGTCGAATGCTCATGTTATAAGGCCAGCAAGTTCTTTTAATTCCTTTACAATTTCAGATAACTCACGTAACGTCACTTCGATTATTCAAAACGATTTTCTGGTATTTTTTTTTTTGTTTTCTGGTATTACTGCTTCTGTTCAGACCCATCTGTTACGCATCTGTTCAGCAAGGGATGCAGAAAACCTTGCGAGATGATGGACCATCAACACTTCAAAATCGACCCTTCTGCAGGCAAGAGCTAAGACGTTGTTTTACAATCGAGAATATTATTTTTGCTATACGGCATTTTGTATCAGTATAGACCTTAGAAAACCAGTATCACAATTTCATTACACGAACAGCCTCATTTAGACCTCCTCTGCGTTCTGCATAATCGATATCTTCACGACCACGTTTGAAGTCAGTTAACCAACGTTCAATTGTTGTTTCTGATGAAGCGGATTTCTCATAACACTTTTCAAGCCATTTCTCTGCTTCAACGGTATTTTCCCCATCAAGAAGCACTGTCAAATTGAAACACAAAATTGTTTTTGATCCAATATTTTGAAAATAACGAAAGTGGTGTCACTCTCAGCAAAATAAGTCAAAAATGAGTAGAATGGAATTTCAATAGCTTTTATTTGAAGGTTAGTACTAACTGAAAAGACTTTTCAGCCCAGGTGGTAGAAAGTTATTGAAAGCAGGTGACATAATTTTCTATTGCACATTGAAGGTATTGAATGGAAATTAGAGAAAAATAAGTATATGATTTTTTGTATTCAATATTTTGTAATAAATCAGAGTATGAAGTTGCAAACAGTTTAGCATTCAAAAACGAATTGTTAGATTTGAAGAAAAATCATGGAATGAAGTGATGATTGATATTTATAGGTTGTTTCAAAAGTTTTGTCCGATTTTATGAGTCTACTTCAAACTTCAATATCTCAGTGAATACTCATTCATTATACTCAAAATAAGCGTCACTTGAATAAGTGCAGTTCTGTCAACGTAACACAACTCGATTGATATGTTCAATTCATTGTTTTTTACTCATTTTTACTGTAAGTATGATTTGTAATTTTATTCATTGGCAAAAAAAACCACAATTCAATAAATTATAGGCCCTGAAGAAGCTTCCCACTAGAAGCGAAAGCTTGGCAAAGTGATGCAGAGTTTTGATTTTTGATTTTTTGACTGAGAGACCCCGTTATTTCCATTCTACTATACATTTCTCCAGTCGCTAAGATTTTCAACTTCAAATAACAATGGGGTTCTTCGAAGAGATCGAACTCAACTACGGATCCCAGGTCAGAAGAGCAATGAAGGAATGGAGTAATACAAACAAGAAACTAGCATCGTATCGCAACAGAAGAATTTTCCTCCTTCAATGCAGAAAAAAACAATGTGGTACCTTCACATATAGAAAATAATACGAAAAATGTAAATATCCTTTTCAATTCTACAAATGGTAAAAATTCTTATGACATTCATAATTTCAATGACAACTTGAAGAAAAAAGTACTAAATCTTGAAATTAAAGTCACACATAATGATTTGAAAAATTTAGAGAAACTTTCGGATAAACAAACAAAATTTGTGACAGAATCAATTCCTTCAACCCGGCGTCACCCAGGTGAAAAATCTTTACAGTATCACCCAGGTGGGGTCTGATGTACCCCAAAATTAGAAATACGAGGAAAAAATAAAACATCTGGATTTTCTCAGGTTTGTACGTGAAATGGGTTTTCAGATGTATTTACTTCATAAATAAAAATGGAAACATTTTATGATAAGTTTAATTCTTAAGATATCATCAGAAAAGTCAAAATGGTGAAATTCTCACGGGCAAAAAACATGACAACTCCGAAAACTGTAGAAAAAATAAATAACTCTCAATTCAGTAAGAATTTATGGAAAACGAATATCGCGAATGTTCAAACTATCACCTATCAAAAAGAAATCATGTGGTTTATGATCAAACAAAAAAGTTATTCATTTCGCAAGTTGCAACAAATTTTGCAGTAAAAAATTAGGTGATCCAAACAAATAAATCTTCCGCATGCGTCACAGGTGTGATTCGATTTTCTGTCGGTATTTCTGGGACAATCCTGACATCTTCCTCGTCCGGTGCGTTGTTTTTTAGCTGGTGGAGGCTCTTTTTCACCTAACACACCGTAAATCTTGAGTCTTTCGAAATTCGGGGAGGATTATTCTTTCTTGCTTGCAAAGTTGGTTCCACTAGTGCAAGTCCCAGTTCTTCGAGGAATAGCCGTCGTTTTTTAGAAATATTATTAGTATTGGCTCTGTAGATTATCTGGCTATTTATTCCAGCTGAATCCATCAGAGAGAAAAAAATTCTTAGCGGCCACCGTCTGCAGTTACGCGCTACACTATAACTTCCTGATAATTCGTCCACTGTGAATATCACAGAATGGAGTGTTTTGGGAAGCTATAGGCAACCAATGAACCGTGCGTGCATTCGATTTGAAATGCCAGTGATTTAAAATTTGTATGGCCATGTGAGACCCCACCTGGGCGACGCCGGGTTAAATATTTGGTTATAATTTGAAAAAAGACAAACTGTCAAATACAATAAAATTTTCAATGACATAAAAAAGAGAAATATCGATAAACTTAGTATACTCAAAAGTAATTCAAAATCAGATATTAAAACTAAAAGAAAATTGGATACAAAATTTATCAGATATCGCCTTGGGTTTCAATTTCATCAGCTTACCACCAACTACCAAAGAGGTGAATATACCAAATTTACTTTCAGATATTGAAAACCTGATAACTGGGTTTTGTGATAGCAAAAAGATTCTTTTCAGAGCAAAAATTACAAATATTGTTACTAACTTTATCCAGAAACCTTATGATGATAAAAATGATCTCAATTCCCTATTTGAGAAAACAAAAAATTATTTGAAGAATCATCCAGAATTGATACTTACAAGATTTGATAAAGGCAACGTGACAGTGATTATAAAAAAATCTGATTAAATTGAGAAATCTCTTGAGATTATTAATGATAGTGATTCTTATGTTGAACTTAATAGAGATCCTGTTTCAACAATACAACAAAAAGCAAATAAAATTATTACAGAATTGAAAAAAATCCAAAATGATATCAGAAGATGAAGTAAAATTGTATATAATTCATAATTCTATATCACCCAAATATTATAGACTTCCTAAAGTACATAAACCTGATATGAAATTGAGACCCATTATTTCTTCCATTGATGCTCCAAATAGCAAAATTGCCCAAATGGTCACTAAAATTCTCACTGATGCCTATAATTATGAAAATGAATTCTATATTAACGATTCTTTCGATTTTTCCAATTTTATAAATGAAAAATCATTACCCTCAGGTTATATTCTGATCAGCCTTGATGTGATTTCACTTTTTAGCAATATACTTATGCATCTAGTGAAGAAAAGTATTATCAAAAGATGGAATGATATAAATAAAAAATGTTCAATTACCCAATAAAAGGTTATTGAAATAATTGATTTCATTTTCAACTCAAGTTATTTCTCTTTCGAAGGTGAATACTATAAACAAATTCTTTGTACACCAATGGGAGCTACTATTTCTCCTATTACAGCTCAAAACGTAATGGACGATCTTTTCGAAAACACACTTCGTAAACTGAGTTTTGAAATTACTTTTTTTAAAATTCGTTGATGATGACATTTGGGCAATACCTTATGACAAATATCATGGAATTCTTGATGTTGTCAATAGATATGATAAAAAGTTGCAATTTACTATCGAAATAGAAAATAATCAGACCCTTTCTTTTCTTGATACAAGAGTTATCCTTGATCACTGATTGGTATGTGAAACCTACTAATTCAGGAAGATATATCAATTACTATTCTTTTCATGAGAAATCAGTTGAAATCAATATAATACTCTGTTTGAGAAAAAGAATAGAAAAATTAGAACACCCTTCCCTCAAGCAAAAAAATCTCAAACTTCTTAGAGATATATTGATCGAAACTTCCTATCCCAGAAAACTTCTTAATGAAATAATTTTCAAAACGATTTCTCTTATAAATCTATACCCAATCTTGGAAATATATCTTCAAATATCATAAAACTTTTTCATAATGAACAGAATATCAAAATATGCCAAAAAATATT